TGGGATTCGAACTGTGTGGTTGACTATGTGGATCTGGCTCCCCTAAGCATCAGGCCACACCACAGAGCCAGCCCTGCCCGCATCTTTAGGTGCTTAGTATTAGAAGAAGCTGTTACGGTGTGTTACCAGTCTCTTGCAGTCATCACGTGCCTGACACGCAGACGGTGTTGAGCCGACACTCAGCCCCTCAGTAAAGGCCAAAGCACATACCACCCATTTGGCACAAAGTGCCATCCGGCACCTCCTTTGCCGGGCCACAGAGAGGAGCCAGCCGTACAGCAGGAACTGAGCCCCAGAGAGAAGCTGGCGGCCCTCTCTGACCCTTCCTCCACCCCAGCCCACTGGCTTGGTCCGGTGAGCTCAATGGGGCCGTCTAGCCTGCTTTGGAGGTGGCTGGGCCAAGGGGACCCAGGTGTAGGGCAGGGTGGGGGTGCAGAATACAGGGAGGACCGGAACACAGGGCCATCTGGGAAGGACCCTGGACAATGGGGAGTGAAGGGCCAAGTGCGACACGCAGTGAGGGAAGGATGCCAGAGGCCTGGGGGCACGCCTGGGGAGACCAGGACGTGGAGTCAGGCTGGGAGGAGCTGCTGTGCAGGGTGCAGAGGAACAGGCCCCAGGAAGCCTGGTGTCAGCTGTGGCCCATCTTCTGCCCTCACCCGGCTCTAGGGACGGCGCTTTAAGGAGCAGAACTGGGGTGGAGGTAGAGGTGGAGTTGAGCCCGGGGCCAGAACTCCGCACCAGCCCAGCCCAACTGCGTGGCCTCAGTTGCCCAGCTACTCGTCACCGAGCCGCCAGGAGGGGACGCCACCACCCTCACATACATCCCACATCCTGCCCAGCTGGCACCAGCCACACCGGCTGGGCTTTGGTCCTCGGGAGGAGCTGCCTGCCCCACTGCTGCTGGCGCTGGTGCTGCCGCGGACTGCACAGCCCCTGCTAGCTGAGGGGACAGGGTGGGACCGGCCCTGGGAGGGCTGAGCAGGCACTGGTGCGCCGTCCCGCCCCAGCTCACCCCATGCCTTGCTGAAGAAGAGGGAAACACTCCCAGAACGAGTCACTGGGTCCCAGGGGTGTGGGCGATGACATCAAGAATGAGGCACGCGTTCAGCCACCAGCTGCTGTGGCGACAGACGCACATACACGCACACACATGCGTGCACACACACGGGCATGTGCAGACCGTCACTGACACAGTGGTAGAAGTGTGCAGAGCAGAGCCTACACACGCACCCTTTCCAGACACCAGCACACACAGTGTGCAGCATCCCAAGGCCCAGAGCAGGGTCCTGACTGGACACTGGGGACACTGCAGGGGCAGGACAGACACTAGGCAGCTCCCTACAGGCCACTTTCTACTGGGGAGATAACCCCCCAAGAGGTTGGGAGACCTGGGAGCAGCAGGACTCGGACTCCCCTTCTGGAACCCTTGGGGCAATCAGAGCCGAGTGACACAGGGTTGCACAGGGCACCTCAGAGCCTGTGCTTGGCTGTGAGGTGGAGACCAGGGACGAAGGCCAGGCAGCCTGAGGCCCAGGCAGCCTCAGGCCACAGAGGGACCTTTCCAGCCCCTTCGGTTAAGGGCAATGGAGGGAAACTCTGGGTGCCTAAGAAGAAAGAGAAAGCGAGACCCCAGGTGGGGTGGGCAGCAGGAAGCAGGTGGGAGAACGCAGGAGACAGAGGCCCGTGCTGCCAGGGCCAAGGGGGGTGCACAGGCCTGGTGCCGGCGTCCAGAGGCTCTGCCAGAGCCAACCTGCACGATCTAAACGTTTACCAGCAGCGCCAGAAGAAAAGACGACAGCAAAATCAAATCACGAAGTTTAATTACGTATCTACAAGACGAGGCAGCGTGGGCAGTAAAGAGAACCCTGCAGGAAGGGACGCGGGCAGGGCGCGGGCTTCAGCTCCGGGCACCGCAGGCCTGCCTCGGGTCTTCGGATGGGCCACCCCCATAACTCATATGCCTCTCGGGGGCGGGGAGGGGGCCCTAAAGTGCTCTGAGATGACTTTTCCACCGTGTGGGGGATGGTGGAGCAAAAAGGAAATCCAGGTCAGACATAGAAAAACACGGCTCTGTCCCTCACACGCGCACTTGTAAACGGAGCTCCTGAGTCACTGCGGACATCACGCCACAGTGCAGCTTGCCTCGTCTCCAGGGGCCGGGGGGACTCACTCTGCCCTCAGGCCCCCCACATCCGAGCAGCCAGGCTCACCGGCCTCCTGCCCTTTCACACCTCCCAGCAGATTCTGCCCCCTCTTCCTGGGGACCTAGAGCTCATCACTGTGACTTTAAGGACAGCAGAGCTGGGGTAGAGGCCATGCTGCCCAGCCTCCTGTGTGACCCTGCCAGGCCCCCCTCCCGTCTGTGAGATGGAGTGAGGACGCCCCTTCTCGGGCTGCCATGTGGACCCGGGAGGCCACAGCGATGTGGGACCCCACTCCCTAAATGGGCTGGACCGTGCTGGGATGTGCCACACACAGCAAGCCAGGAGAAAGGCTCCATAACCGCGTTGAACCCGGCGCTCACTTTCACAATCACCCTCCTCTGGTCTCCTGGCCTGGGCTCACCATCTCCTGCCCCAGCCAGCGGAGGGAGGAAGCAGAGCCGAACTAGAACTAGCGCAGACACGGGTCGGGGTGGGCGGAGGAGCTAGGAGCCTGGTGGCTTGGCTCCTGCAGGCCTGAGTCAGCGGGCGGCGGGCGGGGCGGGGCCAGTCCTCACATGCTACGAGGACATGGTGTAGGAATGTTCCCCGCCCAGACCCAGGCCCTGCCTACCCGTCCCAGCTCCTGCTCTGTGGGCACAGCTCAGATCAAGCCTCAGAGATGGCAGATGCCTGGAGCCTTATGGGGCACTCGGCCAGGAACCTTCAGGGATTGGCCCAGGCTAGGCAGGGCTGGGCCAGTGCCTGCCAGTCCTGAGTGCCAGCCGGGGCAGCCCTGCCCTGGTGGCTAACGTGGCCTCGGGCTTCCTGTCTGTGCACTAGGGTTGGACTTGGTGGAGTCGCCTGGTCTGCGCCTACCCAGGCCTCCCCAGGCACCTGTGATGGGCTCTGCTCCCCTCGGGGTACACCTGTCACTGAAAAGCCATCCCAAGTCTCCACCAGGCTGGGCTGGGGCCCTGGGAGGTGACACAGTGCAGTCCAGGTGTGGCCACACTCTCTCTGCGGCTGTGTGCACGAGTGTGTGTCACTGTGTAAGGCTGGAACGGCGTGTGCAGAGCTGTGGGCACGGCCGAGGACTTGTGCGGGTGTGTGGCTGTGTGTACTGGCGTGGTGTGAGTGTGCATGCGTGGCTGCACACTGCGGCCTGTGTGCCCGAGGGCAGGCTGCACGCCTGCCTGAGGCTTTCTGAGACTGAATGACTGTCTGGGACAATAGCCACGCGGACGTTGTGGGACTGTCCCGGGGTGTTGAGGGCAGCATTGAGCTGGACCCCAGGGCAACCTGCCTCTCCCAGGCCTGGCCAGGCTCCAGTGGGTGACACAGCCATGCACGGGGACTCCCAGTCCGCCTGTGCGCAGGGGGTGACAAGAGGCAGTGTCCGAGGTTGGCCTCCACCCCAGCCCCCACTTGTGCCACAAAGCAAGCTCCTTGTCCCAGGCTGGGCCAAGAGTGGGGATCAGGGGTCCCCCACCCCCCTTGCCAGGTCCTAGTAGCTGCCCAGGGCAGAAAGAGAGGCCTTGTTGTCCATCCCTCAGCGAAGGGAGGGAGGAGCAAGGCAGCTGGCCCAGCTCAGTCTGTAGCATCAGCCTGGCATGCCAGAGGCCATACTGCAGGCCTGCCACTGCCAGGGTGCCCCCTGGCCCAGCTCAGTCTGTAGCATCAGCCTGGCGTGCCAGAGGCCATCCCGCAGGCCTGCCACTACCAGGGTGCCCTAACAGGTCGGGCCACTGCCGAGAGAGGCTCTGCCGGTCCCCAGCAGCCCCCGATTTCCCAACACTCTCATGCACGCAGTGATAGGAAGAAAAAACCAGAGAGGGGCCGGGACAGCCTCACCCTCACAGCACATCTGCCAGCCTGGAGCCCTGAGGACGCCTGCGCAGGCCTGGGCCATCCTAAAACCCCACTTGATTCTTCTCCTAGGCCCAAGCCCCTTCTGAGAAAAGTGTCACACTGATGGCCTTGGCTCAGGGGTGGGGGAGCGTGGAGGTGGCCCCGTCACCAGGGGACATAGGGAGATGCTCCTCCAGGGCAGGGAGCAGTAATGGGACACCATGGGAAAGAGGAGCATTCCCGGCAGCCCTGTAACCTTGGGAAGGAGACCCCCTGTCCATCCCACACCCAGGACACCCCGCAGAAGGCCGCGGGGCGGTCAGAGCTGAGGGGATGGGGGTGGGAAGCTCCTCAGATGGTTTGGAAAATGCAGGAAGGACAGGGAGGGGAAATTCCTCAGAAAGTCCCAGATCTGACCTAATTTTGACTCAGGGCCAGAGGGACCCATTCCAGAAGTTCCTCTGAGGACTCTGCCCTCACCAGGAGCCCTGCCCGCCCCCTCCCCAGCACACCTGCTATACTTCCTCGTCCCCTGGCCGCAAGCTCCCTCCCCAAGCCCCCATGGCCTCCGAGATGCCTGGCCCCAACCAGCACTCTTCTGTAGAGGCATGGGTCCCCCATCTCCTCCACGGGACACTCCCAAGGGCACATTTCCCACATGAAGCCATCACAGGGCTGGGCACCCAGGACTGCTCGTGAAGGACACAGCTGTCTGCCCTCCCTGTGGGTGGGGAGAGGAGCCACCGGCCTCCAGGGCTGTCCTAGGCACAGGCTCCTGCGCCATCCTGACAGCCCTCAGTCCTGACCTCCGAGGGAGCAGGCCAGCAGAGGCCCTGCCGGCCGGCCACTTTCCAGGGACGGGAGGGTGAAGTGTGCACAGGGGGTGTCCGGCGGGGTTCAGCTTTTTAGGTTCTGCGGTAAATTCTGTGCAGGTCCGGGGCTCCCCAGTCAGGTTCTGGCCTTCTCTCACCCTCCAGGGCCCCAACAGAGTCGGACCAGGTCGTCTTCATTGTAAAAGGTTTATCGACAAGAAAGAAAGAGAAAAGATTCAAGCAGCAACAGCCAGGAGCAGACTGCAACCTCCTGGGGTGTGGGTTAGGGGGACAGAGGGTCAGCTCCCCCAGCACACCGTGGGGCCACCCCTGGGCCAGGGGAGGAGGCCTCAGCGGAGAATGTAAACAGGTTGGAGCCAGCACATCTGCATCACAGGGAGGTCGGGGAGGGTGGGCAGCCCCATCTTTCTCTCCTTAGGTTCCTCAAGTAACTGGAAGCCCCAAGGCCAGTGCCCTGGAGTTACTGCTAGGAAACTAAACATCTGCTGACTTTTATGGCCCCTAACCAGGAGAGAGCTCGGTGGAGAGGGTCAGGCCTGACAGGAGCTGACAGGAGGGAGTTGGCCTGCAGCCCCTCCTGCAGGGACAGGGCTGGGGCAGGGAAAGCCGGAAAGTCGCAAACGGGTGAGCAGGGAGGGCTCCCTGCTACCCCACACAGGCCATGAGCCCCAGGGAGGGCTCCAGGCTTGCTTGGGGAAGGCGGAGAGCGAAGTGGGGTGCTTCCACCTCCATGCCTTTGCCCATGCCATTCCTCTCCCCAAATGTTCTCCCCGTCTGCCTGGCAGCTCCTGGCCAGCCGACGCACTGCTCTGTGGAGTCCTCCCTGGCCAGCAAAGAGCCTTGGGAGGCCCTCTTCAGCCACCCACGCCACTGCACCCCTTCGTCAGCTCTCGCGTCTGCCCCTCCTCGCCCGGGGCTCCTCCACCGCACCCAGGGGGGCCTGGGGCTGCAGGCTCTGCACGAGCAGAGGGATGGTGGCCGAGGGCAACACTCCAGGTCTCAGGAGGCTCGGACCCTGGCCCAGCCTCATGTGACCAACCAGCAGCCTGGACCTTGGTCTGGAGGGTTCCCAGCTCCATTCTCACACTGGCCGTGCCCCGCCTTTAGGAGTAAGGGCCTCCCTGGGGGCCCCGCGCCTCCTCCCAGCCACTGGGGCTCCAGGGAGTCTGTCTGGGAGGGCCCGTGGGCCCGGGCAGGAAGCGTGCTCAGAGGCCATCGTACATGCGCAGGGCCCTCTCCAGCTGCTGGGCCACCCGCTGGTAGAAGAGGATCTGCTGGCGCAGGTAGTTCTGCATCATGTGCTTGAAGTCGAGCTCGCGGCGCTGGTGGAAGTGGTTCATCTCGGCCTGCAGGGCGAAGCCCACCACGCGGCAGCGCCTGCGGATCCCGTCGGCCTCGTCCTGCGCCATGCGGCCCTCGTCGCTCATGCGCTGGCTCTCCTTCACCTTGGCGAAGGCGCCTGGCACGGACAGAGCAGAGGGCAGGCGGTCAGGGCTTGGGCCTCCTCTGTCCACTCCCCGTGCCATCCCCCGGCCCTGCCAGGGCAGGCGACACCCTCAGCGGCTTGACTCAGACCTCACTCCTGAGCTCCAGGCGCAGACCTGGAGCCTCCACCTCATGTCCCCAGACCTCACCTCCACACACCACAAACCAGACACACGATCTTCCCTCCATACCTCGGCCCACACCTCCTCACACTGCTGGCCGGTAGCATTCATTCCCAGGATGGGGCTGTTCCGCAGGCCTCACCGCTCAGGCCAGCTCCTCATTCAGTTCAGACATCACCTCCTCCAGGAAGCCTCCGCTGCACCACACTGTGTTCGGTGCCTCCCAGTGCTCCTCCCCAGTGCTTCCCTGGCTTCCCTCTAACATGGTTGTTTGCGTTCTGCTTTTAAATTCACAATAGTGTGTGTGTGAAAAGCAATAGGCACGGTCCGCAAGGTCTGCTCTCACTCCGAACCTTCCTCCTGTGCTCCAGCCCATCGGCTCTTGGGCTCTGGCGTGTCTGGAGCGTCTCAGGCTGACCAGGCCAGGGACACGGCTAGCACTCACCATGCGGGTCGGCTTCTCCGAGCCACACCCTGGAGCCCACCCTATTGCCTCTGAGCATCCTGTGGTTTCTCTGACCGTCTCCCCAGGGCCATGTGCGTCGCTGGCACCCCAAACGAGACCCCACCAGGCAGATCCTGAAACAAGTCTCCTGAAGGAATGCCCCTCATGGATGGCTACAGCCCCCACCAACTCTGTCCCCGTGGCCCCGGCCCCCAAGGTCCCCTGCATCCCTGTGCACCACGGGCACACGACCACACAGCCATACAACCACTCTGACCTGTGTTGGTGTCTCCCGCTCTGGCTCTCCCCACCTTCCACCCCTGCCTGCTGGGGCCCCATCAATAATTCAGGCCCCTGCTCAGGTGCCTTTTCCACAAAGGAGCCCCAGGCAGCCGCCCCACCTTACCCCTCCCCCTGGCTCCCTGCAGCTTCCAAGGCCACCTGGTATGTCTCCCACATAGGGCCCTGCTCCTCCTTACCCCAGCCCTCAGGGGACTAGAAGAGGCTGTTCTAATAACCAGGTGACAGATGGGGGCCCAGGACTAACCTGAGCGGGTAAGGGCTTCTATTGAGAGGAATGCGGGTTGAATGGACAAGCAAAGGTGAATGCATTTCAGTTCTGAGTTAAAAGGCACTTGGGGGCCAGCCAGTGATATGGCAGTTGAAGTGACAGGGTCCCAAATGGCCCAGCCCTGACAGCTTGAAAAACACGCCAGGTATGTGTGCATGCGTGCTCAAAATCCCGAGAAGAGGGAGAAATGGAGGAGACGGGATTGCGGCATGACCATTTCCCATGGGGGCAGTTGCCTTCCTTCTCTCCCTTTTTCTCTCCAAAGAGCATACATGCACTGTGGCAAGAACTTTTTTTTTTCTTTTTTGGGGGAGAGGTTTTTGCTATAGGACGTGTGTGCTCATCGGAAAGACAGAGAGACAGAAAGCGAGAAATCACCCCCGGGGGAATGGCCACGCTGCAATCCCTTCTCCTCCATTCTCCTCTCGGGATCTTGAGCACGCACGCAGGCCTGGCATGAGTTTAAGTGGCCGGGTCCAGGACTCGAACCATGGTCAACTACGTGGAAGTCCAGCAATGTAACTGCTACGCTATTTGCTGGTCCCCTGAGGCAAAATTGTTTAAAATTTAAAAAAAAATTAAATAAAAGGTACCTGACTGCCTTTGAGTCAGTGGGGACGTTGCTGGAGAGAGGCAGTCTGCCCAGGCACGGCACCCAGTCCACAAGTGGCCATGATGGCTCCACTGCGCAAGGCAGGGGAAGGCGGGGAGGGCTCCGAAAGCCTCCGCCACACACACACTGCACACGGGTGACCACGAGTTCCCACTTTCTCTGAGGAGGGCCTCTTTACTCTCACTCCTGTTGTCCAAGGCATTCAAGATGGAGACCAGCAGGTGGTATAGACATTAAGGCACTGCGCCCTACATAGCCAACTCCAGGGTTCAAGCCCCAAGGCAGTCAAAATGCCTCTACTGAGACTTGCTGTAGTCTACACGCTGGATGTCACTCTAGGTGCCTCCAGAAGGGTAGTGCCGTAGCTGGCAGGTGCCTGCCGCCCGGCCCAGAGAGGCGTTTCTGCAGCTGGGCTCAAGCCTGGAGAGTCCTTGGCCCCCGAAAGACACAGGCAGTCCCAGCTCCCAGCTAGCTTCACTCTTTCAGCACCTTCCTGCCTCTGCTCTGTCCCAATGGCTCGGCCCTGGGCAGCAGGAGAGGAGCAGCCAATGCCCCGGTGGGTCCTAGCGAGCGACTTCCAAGCTGGAGAGGCCCTAGAGGCCCTAGGACAGCGTGGAGGGAAGGAGGCCCTGAGAGGCAGGTCTGCCCAGGGGCTCTCAGTCTCCTTCCTGGTTCTCCACAGCCGGGTGTGGGTACCACCTCTGGGAGCTCAGGGGGTCCTCCAGTGTGGGAGGCTGTGCACCAACGAATATTGTGGGTTTCTCAGAGAGCAAACAATTACACAATGACAAAGGCCATGATTGGCTCCCCTTCAAAACCTCGCCTTCAAAACCATATTCTGGTTGGCCACTAGAATCCCTCAGATTTGCATATCCGATACTTCATGATTGGTCCACAAAAGCAAATCATAACTTACCTTTTACAATCCTTCATTTAACCAATCACTGCCCACCAACATGTATATAATCACAATCTCTGGCCCACAATTGCCAGACGACCTTGAAGACCCTAAAGAGCTGTGACATCGCGTCATTTCTGGACGACCCTGAAGAGTTGTAACACTGTGTCATCTCCATGCTGCCCACAATAAACTGAAGACCCTGAAAAATTGTGGCACCGTGTCGTCTCCAGTCGTCTCCGTGTTGTAACACTGCATCGTTCTTCCCGTCTCTCACTCCTTCCCTCAGGAAACCTGTTCGACTGTCCCCCGGGTCAGGACACTCCAGGCCTACCTGGGAGGCCCCAGACAGTGGACACACAGTCAAGAAGGCCCCGAGGGGAGGGCAGGACCATAAGAAGAAAGGCAGACAATGGCAAGACGAATAACCGAGTCAGGCCTACCTAAAGGGGACAGGCTGACTGAGTGGAGACAGGCAGAGTGCAGTGGGGGGTCTACACTTGGGTTTTCTGCCTTGGAGGCAGGGAAGGCCCCTTTTGCAGATGAGGAACCTCAGGCCCAGAGCAGAAATGAAGCTACTGCAATAGCTCAGAGACCCATTGGGCAGGGCCAGGGATGGGGTGAAGGCTGCAGGGGTTGGGGAGGCAGAGCCCCATACTGCTCTCCATCAGCTGTCCACCCGCGACTCAGTTCCGGGGCCAGGACCCACTGACAGGCTGGAAACCGGGGCTCAGACCTGTCCAGCTTCCTCTCTACATTCCACTTAGGGCTCAGTCTGGCCGTTGAGGACCCGGGGGCTCCTGCCTTGACAGTCCTCCCATATGCTGGTCCAGGAATGGAGGAAGGAGGGCCGGAGCCCACCAGCCGCACAGCCCCAGGGGCCGGGCATAGTCCCTACGCTCCCACCTCTTGGGGACCTCAGAAGGTCTGAGTCCCAGTCCCACCTGTGTGACCTCTAGCCAGCCACAGCTCTCTGCAGGTCTCACTGTCAAATGGGACAGGGCACACGACGACTATATGGTATGGTGTTTTAGAGCTTCCACATCTGGAAATGGGACTACTGGATCACCCTGAGGTGGTTTAAAGGAGTAGAGGGGTCTTCACAAAGTTCATGGAAATATGCATGATGGAAAAACTATACATGGGTTTCATAATTTTTTTTCTTTTTTTTGGGAGAGGTATTTTTTTGCTATAGGGTGCGTGTGCTCACCAGAAAGACAGAGAGAGACAGAGACAGAAAGCGAGAAATCACCCCCAGTGGGATAGGCCACGCCACAATCCCTTCTCCTCCATTCTCCTCTCTGGATCTTGGGCACGCACGCACACGCGCCCGGTGTGAGTTTAAGCCACCGGGTCCAGGACTCAAATCGCGGTCGACTACGTGGGAATCCAGCGACAAAGCCATTACGCTAACTGCTGGTCCTGGTTTCATAATTTTTTATGCCAAAATAAACTAGTACTTTAATTCCGTTTTCCCATGAACTTTTTTTTTTTTTCTTAATTTGCCAGAGGGTGCACACACTCACCTTGCCAGAGAAAGACACAGAGAGAGAGGGAAAGTGAGAAGCACCCCCCGTGGGGGACGACAACGCGATGACTCCTTCTCCTCTATATCTCCCTCCTCTCACTTTGAGCACGCACGCACATGTGCCTGGCGTGTCTCTCAAGCCAACTGATTCAGGACTCGAACTGCACCGTCGGCCACGTGGGATCTGGCCGCCTTAGCCACCGGGCTCCCGACTGCCTTCTGCGAACCCTGGGAAGTCCCGCCGTATGAATACAGCAGAGGCCCGCGTCGGACACACAGAAGGGAGCTGCGGTGCACCAACTATTTTCCTTTCTCCTTCCCCTTCTCTTCCGTGACCCCAGAAGTCACATGCCAAGAGGGAGGGAGAGAGCAAGCACCCTCCATCGGGGCAAGGTCAAGCCGCAATCCTTCTGCCTTCGATTCTCCATCCTGTCAAGATCCTGGGCACATGCATGCCCAGCATGTTCTTCAGGCCAACAGGACTGGGACCCCACACCCTGGTGGCCCGTGTGGGATCCGGCTTCCCCTGCGGTGTCTAACCACTGCACCCCAGGGCCAGCCTGCTCTTCTATCCATGAGCTCACAGCAGGTCCCAGCCAGAGGTGGCTCAAGACAGTGTAATTCTCTTGGCTTATGGAAGCTTAGGAGGGGTGAGGGAGAGTTAGTTAGGTGAGGGCTCTGTCCCCAAACAAGAGCTTGTCCCTGTGTGGGCCACTGTGCTGGGAGCTCCGTGGTCTCCCCACAGACACTCTGCAGTCCTGGGCCTGCACCAGTCCCCTGAGGAGGCCACCTGAGTCCGTGCAAGGGCACCCAAGCCCCAGTCCTGGCTATCTCCCTAGGGGTCCCTTCCCCCACCCAGCGGGCAGAGACACACCCGAGCTCTGTTCCTGCCCTGCCGGTCACTGGCGTTACAGCACCTCGCCTGGAGAGCAGAGGTGATCGCAGCGCCCCTGGCTTGTGACGAACCCAGGGACGGCCCAGCCCTGGCCCCTCTCTGGTGGGGAACCCTGACAGCCCTTCTACCTCTGTTATTGTCCCAAGATACCCATGTCCAGGGCCCCCTTCCATCCTCCAAATGCCAATTCTATGGTTGCCATGCTCTCGGGGGGCCCCTGAATGGACTCCAGGGACGTGGCCAGTGGACGGGGCAGGCTGTGAGCCTCGGCTCAGCTCCAGCCAGGCCCCGCATCCCACGTTACTGACGTGGAGACTGAGGGGAGAAACCCCCAGGTCACCTTGAGGCAAAGTCTGTCCGAATCACGGCCCCTGCCTGGGCCTCTGGCTTCCGCCCTCTACTCTCTCCCACATACCCACTGTCCGCTCAGAGTCCTGACGGACGGGACAGAACCTCCTGGACCCGGGGCCCAGCTGTCTTGCTGCGTCCCCTACAGAGCCAGCACAGGACCCCTCAGGCTGTGGGCCCCAAATCTGTATCGGTAAGAATCTAACCCCCTCCCTAACTCACCCCGACCACTGGCCTGGAAGGGCAGAACCGCGAGCGAGCCCGAGGGAGCTTGGCCTAGCAGGGAGGGGTGCCCCAGGGGTGCTCGGGACAGAAGGTGGTCCAGCCTCTGCTTCAGGATGAACGTGCCAGCCCTGGGGAACGTGGCAGACTCAGAAACTTCTCAGTGGGAAGCTCAGAAATGGCCCCTCAGCAGCCTCCCTGCGCAGGGTCAGAAAGGCCAGCCTGGCTTCACTTGAACTCAGGCTCGCCCTGAAGCAGCCC